GTTTATATGGTTATGACTGTTCAGACAGAATCAGACTTGTCACGTTTATTATGGACTACGCTGTTGATTTTTACTCTCTTGCTTTTCATATTGTTGAGATATATAAAACCATTAGTGTACCCTCACCCAACAGCTTAAGCTTTTGGGTCGAATTGGTTCTTTACATGGTATCAGAGCCTCGTGTCCCAGGCTCGATCCTCGCCGCCCTCCACTTTCTTTCAAGTGGAATTTCTTTGTTCGCACAGGTAGGTGGGCCTGTGCATTGGCCACCCTTCAAGCCCAGTGGACTCTCGTGTGAGGGGGCGTGTTGAGATATATAAAACCATTAATGTACCCTCATCCAACAGCTTAAGCTTTTGGGTTGAATTGGTTCTTTACAAATTGAATCTGAAATATATTGTATATTCAAGTGTCTATAGTCTCTACAAGGAGGCTATTTATTTATAGAGACTAAAATACCTAATGGGATGACCTAATGGGCCAAGCCCACAATCTAGATTATTCTAGACTATTCTAATAATAATAAATTAATATTATTTCTAACACTCCCCCTCAAGCTGGTGCGTATATATCAAAAGCTCCCAGCTTGTTACAAATATGATCTATTCGGGGACCTCTAAGAGCTTTAGTGAATACATCCGCAAGTTGATCATTGGAATTGACAAATGCTGTCTCGATCTCCCTTGACTGGATCTTTTCTCTAACAAAATGACAGTCAATTTCTATATGCTTGGTCCTCTCATGAAAGACTGGGTTAGAGGATATATGCAAAGCGGCTTGGTTGTCACAAATGAGCTTCATAGGCCTTTGTTCACAGAGATGGAGTTCCTTCAGCAATTGACTCAGCCAAATGAGCTCACAGGTTGCATTTGCCATTGCCCGATATTCTGCCTCCACACTGGATCTGGCGACCACAGTTTGCTTCTTACTCTTCTAAGAGATCAAATTTCCTCCGAAGAGAACACAATACCTTGAGGTGGATCGTCTATCTGAAGGAGAACCTGCCCAGTCAGCATCTGAATAACTAGAGATCTCTGAACTCCCTTTATTTGTATATAATAAACCTCTTCCTGGCGCCTTTTTAATATATCGAAGAATTCTAATAACTGCATCCCAATGGGAGTCACAGGGAGAATCAAGAAATTGACTTGCAACACTCACTGCGAAGGAGATATCTGGCCTTGTCACAGTAAGATAATTCAATTTTCCAACTAGTCGGCGGTAGCGACTAGGATTTGGCAGTGGCTCCCCCTGTCCTGGTAATAACTTAACATTGGGGTCCATAGGTGTATCAATGGGTTTACAGCCTAACATGCCAGTCTCATCTAGGATATCCAGTGCATACTTCCTCTGACAGATGGAAATGCCCCGCCTAGACTGTGCAACTTCGATCCCCAAGAAATATCGAAGTCTGCCAAGATCTTTGGTCTGAAATTGATTAAATAAATGCTCTTTCAACTGATCAATCCCGGTCTGATCACTGCCTGTAATGATAATGTCATCAACATAGACCAGGAGATAAACGCACTGGCCAGAAGAGCTATGCCGGTAAAAGACGGAATGATCGGCTTTGCTTATGATTAAGCCAAAGGATTCAACAACTGAACTAAAGCGGCTAAACCAGGCCCGAGGAGATTGCTTCAGGCCATATAAAGATTTCCGAAGTTTACATATCATTCCAGAACTCTCCCCCTGAGCAACAAAACCTGGTGGTTGCTCCATATAAACTTCCTCCTGCAAGTCACCATGTAGAAAAGCATTCTTAATATCAAGTTGGAGAAGGGGCCAGTGATGAATGGCGGCAAGGGCAAGAAACAGGCGAACAGAAGCCATCTTAGCAACAGGAGAAAAGGTATCCCCATAATCAAGACCAAAGATCTGTGTGTATCCCTTGGCCACTAAGCGAGCTTTAAGGCGATCAACAGTGCCATCAGGACCAACTTTAACTGTGAACACCCATCGACAACCAACAACAGACTTCCCGGGAGGAGCACGAACAAGATCCCAAGTGCCATTGGAGTGAAGTGCCTGCATTTCATCAAGCATCGCCTGGCGCCACCCTGGATGAGATAGTGCTTCACCTGTGGTTTTAGGGATGGAAACAGAAGAGAGACTAGAAACAAAAGTAAAATGTTGTGAAGAAAGTCTGTCATAACTCAAGAAAGAATAAAGGGGATGAGGATTTCGAGTGGATCGAATACCTTTCCGAAGGGCAATGGGAGGAGTCTCTGATGGAGGATCCAGAGGAGAAGAGCTGACGGGAAAGGGCGATGAGTCATCAAGAGGCAAAGTCGGAGGAGGTGCAGGCTGACGACGCTGGTATGTGAGGAGAGGACGATCTGCAGGTATGGAGGTAATTGGTTGCTCCTCTGGAATAGGGTCACCTGCAGCTGGTAAAGACAAGTCAAGAAAAGGAACAGGAAGGACCTGATCAACTTGGGACACTGGAGACGGAGTAGAGTGAAAAGGCTGCTGATCAAGGAAAGTGACATCAGCAGAAACGATATAACACTTGAGATCAGGAGAATAGCAACGATACCCTTTTTGAAAACGTGTATACCCAAGGAAAATACATTTGAAGGCCTTGGATGTCAACTTGTCTTTACCTGGAGTAAGATCATGAACAAAACAAGTACAACCAAAAATATGTAAAGGCAGAGGATAAGAAGGTGCTCCGGAAAACAAAATACTGTGGGGAACATCATTATTTAGCACAGAAGAGGGCATGCGGTTAATAAGGAAACATGAGGTGATAATAGCATCTGCCCAAAAACGGAGTGGGACGTTCATATGAATGAGAAGGGTACATGCAGTTTCAACTAGATGTCTATTTTTACGTTCAGCGACTCCATTTTGTTGTGGAGTGTGGGGACAGGTAGTCTGGTGTATCGTCCCTTGTGTATCCAGAAATTTAGAAAATTCAAGAGACACATACTCTTTTGCATTATCACTGCGCAAGATTTGAATAGAAGCACCAAATTGAGTTTTTATTTCTGCACAAAACTTTTGATAAATTGAAAATAACTCAGAACGATTTTTCATTAAATAAACCCAAGTGCAACGGGAGAAATCATCAATAAAGGTGACAAAATACTGAAAACCCAAAACAGACGTTGTTTGACTCGGACCCCAAATATCAGAATGAACAATAGAAAAAGGAGCATCAACTCTTTTATTGACTCTATTAGCAAAGGAGGAGCGAGTGTGTTTTCCTTGCTGACAAGAATGACAGTTTAAAGACTTAAGATTGGATAAAAAGGGAACCATATGCTGAAGCTTGGAGAGGTTTGGATGACCCAGACGACTGTGAATTAGCTCAGGAGACTCTGTGAGAGAACATGCTACTGGAGAAGGTGGTGCAATCAGATAGTAGAGACCTCGTGACTCAACGCCTGCTCCAATCGTCTTCCTCGTACCCGAATCCTGCATAGAAAAGGATTGTTTAGAGAAGGTAATAGTACATGAAAGAGAATGAATCAACTGGCTAACAGAGATTAAATTAAAAGGAATGCCAGGTATATAATAAACAGAACTCAAAGTTAAAAGGGGAGTTGGGTTGGCTTCCCCAATTCCACGAGCAGGAGCCTTAGTGCCATCAGCAAGAGTGACAGGGGGTAGGTTATTAGAATAAGAAAGTGAAGTGAAGAGATCTTTATTACCACAAAGATGATGAGTAGCACCTGAGTCTATTATCCAGGGTCCAATAGATGATTGATAAAAACAAGCAACATGATTACCAGTGTCTTGAGTAGGATGCTGAGAAGAAACCTTCTTGAGAAGTGCCTCATAGTCGGCACTTGAAAGAGTTACTAATCCAGATGAAGGTGGCGTAACATCAATTTGATCAAAGTTGGCAGTCGGTGGTGAACAATGGCGGACGGTGGTTTTGTGGCGGTTTCCGGCGATGAACGGAGGCTGACGATCTTTTTCCTGATGATACGAGGTTGAGGACAAAAAATTTGTGACTAAATAAGGGTTAGGTGTGAAAGGATGGTTGCCGGTATGATGCACGACAGTAAAAAGAAAGGAAAAAATATATATATGCGGAAGCAGAACCCTCAGATCGAGAGCTCTGATACCAAATTGAATCTGAAATATATTGTATATTCAAGTGTCTATAGTCTGTACAAGGAGGCTCTCTATTTATAGAGACTAAAAGACCTAATGGGATGACCTAATGGGCCAAGCCCACAATCTAGACTATTCTAATAATAATAAATTAATATTATTTCTAACACATATTTCACAATTTATATTATTAAAAAAGTCCAAAGAAAGGGAAGGATGAAGGTCCTTGAATGGCCAAAATAGTAGAATGAACTAGACATGTTGCTTAGGCTGGTTGATGTTTTCATGCTGATTATTAAAACCTGGTGGCTTTAATTAATTTACAGCACAGTTCAGGATCCAATGAGCATGCCAAAACTAGTGTTATGCATGGAAAATCTTTAGACAACTTATAACGGGTGATATGGAACAAAAAATAATTTAACTTGTGCAATAATTTATAATTATTTTTATATCGTGCACTAAATTATTGACTTATAAATATAGAAAGTAATGTTTTCCGGTGGAAAAGGAGCTAGGGTCAGTATGGAATCTTTGGATTCAGAACTTGATAGTTTCTAGTTAGTGTCATATAACTACAGGATACATTTATATTAAACAACAGAAGTTCCGATAACGTGAGGTGAGCATTCCCTTCCCACCTGTTCTATGTTATTAGTGGCTGAAAAGGATTGTAAGTTAGAAATGGATTCGGTGCTAAACTAAGAAAGTGAAAGATTGTTGATCTGTGAAACCTTTCACACATCTAAAACATGAACTAAAAGATGTCACCAAACTCCAATAATGTAATAATTTCTAAAAACATGCTAGACTTGCTTGACACCAACTTGTTTTCAATGGGCATGCCAAGCTCTTATTTATAACCAGATAACTTATGAATTCTATGAGTAAGTCTTCATTGTCCCTACAGTATTTTCTGAAACCTCAGAAAGATGCCACAAGGTGATTCTAGTGATAGTTCCATGCAGCATGCTGCACATACTAAGCGTGCTCCTACTCCAGGGAAGGCAACAATACTTGCAATAGGCAAGGCCTTCCCTAGCCAAATTATCCCTCAAGATTGCTTGGTAGAGGGCTACATCCGTGACACAAAATGCGAAGATGAATATATTAAGGAGAAATTGGAGCGTCTTTGTAAGTACCATTAGTTACTTTACATTCTTATTTATTAAGGAATTCAACCTGTAATATTAACGCTTCTACCTTACTCCCAAGTGACTAGCAAAATTGGTTCTATCAATATTTGAACTAGTGAAAGGAAATCTGGTATGTTAATGATGCCCATCCATAGCTTCCAACTCATTGCTGAGAATAATTGGCACTTGGCACTCCCATAAGAAACTCATAAGAAATTTATGGACGGCTAAATCCATCACCACTCCCCATTAAAGTTTAAACCATGATTAGAGATGATGTGGGTGACGAAAATCTTTGTATGTAGTCTTATTTTTTTACTTTTTGCTGTTAGTCCCTGATTTCTCTATAACAAAGAAGCAACTTTATAACCACTCCCCCGTTAAACCTCGACTAGTGAGGGTATGAGTGAAAACAATCCTTGTACGCAGCCTTACCTTTGTATATTTTCAATTTTTAAATAGAAAAAATTACTAATCTAAACTGCAATACTTTCTTTCTTCATTTGCCATTTGCCAGGTAAAAACACAACTGTGAAGACAAGATACACAGTAATGTCAAAGGAGATCCTTGACAAATACCCTGAGTTGGCCACAGAGGGCTCACCAACCATAAAGCAAAAGCTTGAAATAGCAAATCCTGCAGTAGTAGAGATGGCTACCAAAGCTAGCCTTGCCTGTATCAAGGAATGGGGAAGGCCTGCTCAAGACATTACTCATATTGTCTATGTTTCTTCAAGTGAAATACGCTTACCAGGTGGCGACCTTTATCTGGCAAATGAACTTGGCCTTAGAAGTGATGTTGGTCGTGTAATGCTCTATTTTCTAGGTTGCTATGGTGGTGTCACTGGCCTTAGAGTTGCCAAGGACATAGCAGAAAACAACCCTGGTAGCCGGGTTTTGCTGACAACCTCTGAGACTACCATACTTGGTTTTAGACCCCCCAATAAGGCTAGGCCATACGATCTTGTGGGGGCTGCACTTTTTGGTGATGGAGCTGCTGCTGTGATAATTGGAGCCAACCCTGTATCGGGTCAAGAGTCTCCCTTCATGGAGTTGAACTATGCTGTCCAAAAATTCTTGCCTGGGACACATAATGTGATTGATGGGAGACTCTCTGAAGAGGGTATAAATTTCAAACTTGGAAGAGACCTTCCTCAGAAAATTGAAGACAACATAGAGGAATTCTGCAGAAAGCTAATAGCTAACAGCAATATAAAGGAGTTCAATGATTTGTTCTGGGCTGTTCATCCTGGTGGACCTGCAATTCTCAACAAGCTAGAGAGTACACTCAAATTGAGCAGTGAGAAGCTAGAGTGTAGTAGGAAGGCACTAATGGACTATGGTAATGTTAGCAGCAACACTATATTTTATGTCATGGAATACATGAGGGACTATCTGAAAAAAGATGGAGCAGAAGAATGGGGTTTGGGATTGGCATTTGGACCAGGCATTACTTTTGAAGGCATTCTCATGCGCAGCCTGTAATCTTAAACATGAATTTGTCTTCGGGTTGTAATAGGAAGAAGATGTACTTAATTAATGGTGTTCTCTTTATGTGGTTTCAAAATCTTTCTTAACAATAAAGTCTTATGTGGCAAATTACTTTCTGAATATCAAAAGGGGAAAATTTTAGTATGCTACTTTATGTTCTTAATTCTTATTGCTCTTTTTTATTATTATTATTAATTCATGAAATCCCTCCAACTATAAGATATAAGAAGAATATTTCCTCTATTTTGAAAGTTATCCATAAGACTCATTGAACTTACCAAACCATGCATATTGACTCATGAGGGTTTTATGCACACGGACAAGGGTCAGTATGCACAAGCATGTTTCGGAGATTTCAGAGAGTTTTAGTGAATTTCAAAGTAAAAGGAGATTTTTCGCATGACTTATAGTTAAAGGAAAATTTTTACACATACGGGAGTACCAAATATTGGGTTCATCATTTATTAAATATGATAAAAAAATATCCTATTTACATAACATCTATCTTTATGGTTATTTTCATGCATATTTCATTTTTTTCGTTTTATTATCTTCAAGTATATCTTATCTTTTTCTTTTTGTAAGGGAGTAGGTACTTCCCTAACAGTGAAAATGTGCTCTAGCTAAAGGAGAGTTTATTCAATTTTAGAGCTTTTAATTTTCATAAACTATTCACCAATACAGTTTCGGAATAAAACTTTGCTATTATAAAAAAGGGTTTAATGTCTCTTATATTGTAGGAGATAAAATTATCTCATTTAATACATAAAAGTATGTGGAACCCATATTTTTTATTCCTTATTTATGTTGCACTGGTTTGTGATTTTCTCATTACTTTACACGCACAAGTCACATGATAATTATGTCACCTAAAGTTGAGGAAATTATGTATTGAATATACACAAAAGGTTACAATATAGAGACTAATGAGCTTAATGATAAACCCAAATCCCAATAAAATAGGGAAATTAATAATTACAAGTAATTACAATATGTATAACAATCTCGCTCAAGCTAGCAGGCTTTTTGACCCTTTTACCCTTCATTAATTAATTAATAATCATTTTGTCCTTTATTCAAAATTATCTACCAATATGTCCCTCTTTAATCGATTAACTTAAAGATTTAATCGATTAAATGGTCAAAACTGACAAAAATGATTGACTTGAAAATTTAATCGATTAAATCTTCAAGTTAATCGATTAAATCTTCCAACAAAATCATTTTATAAGCGATTTAATCGATTACATATCATTTTTAAACGATTAACTATTGGTAACTTCCTAACAAAGTCGCAAAACTACAGTGTATCATAATATAGTGAGGGGAACTGAAGTAATTGATGGTTCTTCTACTCTTTACATCTACAACGTTATTATAAAGAAGGCGGTGGTTTGTAGCTCACTGCTGGGCATTTGACGCTATGAACTATGGCAGATTCCAAAAGTTAAATCTTATCTAATCTTAATATATATAGACACACAGCTATTTTCCCCCCTACAATCTCACGAAAGCACCATCACAAGTATGAACGGTCGCAATTACGCTTATAAAATCGACATTCATCACGATTTCAGTCATCGCCGTTGGCAGCTTAGCAATACCCTTCTGATTGTAAAGAAAACACGTTTTAATAATAAAACACGATTACTTGAAGGAAGAAATTTGAAAAAGGGGGTGCAATCAACCAACCCTATAAAATATGATGGCCTATAAAAGATGTACAATTAAGTGGTTTGTAGCTTAACTTCACCATCAATGGCCTGCAGCATCCAAGAAATTGTAGATAGGAAAACAATCAATTGCCTCACTGCCCCTCACTATAATCTATGGGGGTTTTGGACAAGAGTTGGAAGCGAAATTGAGAGCTTTTTGCTCTTTCTCACATGCCTTTCTCTTAAACACCGTAGTTCTGCGACTTTGTTAGCAAGTTACCAATAGTTAATCGATTAAAAATGATATGTAATCGATTAAATCGCTTATAAAATGATTTTGTTGGAAGATTTAATCGATTAACTTAAATATTTAATCGATTAAATCTTCAAGTCAACCAATTTTGTCAGTTTTGACCATATAATCGATTAAATCTTCAAGTTAATCAATTAAAGAGGGGCTGATTGGTAGATAGTTTTGAATAAGAGACAAAATGGTTATTAATTAATTAATGAAGGGTAAAAGGGTCAAAGAGCCCAAGCTAGAACATGTATATCATATGCACCAAACTTGTTACATATATTGTTAAACAAGTGGCTTCAATACTCAGGGGTAGGGAAGGGGGTTAAATTGAGTTTTACAAAATCTTTTCGCAAAATGCCTCCTTTAATATTTCAAAGAGTATTTCTTCAATTAAATGATTTAACAAGAAAAAATCTAAGTGTAGGAACAAGTGTGTAATCAATAAAATAAGCTAGTAAATAAATAAACACAATCTAAAAATGAAATTTCAAGACTAAAGTAAATAGTTCAAGGTTAGAGAAATTGCAAACTAGATGTATCCTGGTTAGATAAGCTTAGACAAAATATTACATGCAATTTATCTTATACAAAATATGGTCATGCATCATAAATCCCAAAATATGGTCATATACATAAATAACATCCATCCTCCAAAATATAAGCCCCATGCTCTATATAGGTGTCTTTCCATGTGAGCTCTTACCTCCCTTAGCTGGAGTACCTGAAATATGGTTCCCAAACGAGGTGAGAAAACATCTCAATAAACTCAGGGTTTTTGGAGTAATTCTTCACCCATGAGTTCACTTCCTCCATGAAAGGTCAAATAACATAACATAGAAACATCATATAGCTCATAACGTACATAAGACTTCCAAGAGCTTAGGTCCTCAAGAATAGTCTATACATACCCTTCCTAGAGCTTAGGTCCTCAAGGAATATTATTCTATAAATACTAGTCCAAGGGCTTCGGTCTCCAATGATAGTACACTTTCAAGAGCTTAGGTCCTCAAGAAAGTTCATACATGATAGTCCAAGGGCTTAGGTCCCCAAGGATCATACACTTACATACAAGCTTAGGTCCCCAAGGAAGGTACACATATGCATGTGTTCATTGGCCAAGAACCCTCATCAATCCATCAATCATAACATATACATTATCATTTATCAATCAATTATCATATCACTTATCATTTATCAATCATTACATAAATATATCTACATGAATGCAGTTATACTAAGTATTTAACATCCCACTCAATAATCCATATAATAACCGTAACCCCTTAGTAGCATGGTGGAATAACAATAACAGAGTAAAACTCAAAATCAAGAGTTTACCTCTTGTAATCTTTTCTCTAGGAGATTTCTTTAAACACAAGCAACCTTCTCAATAGCTGTCTTCATGTCTAAAATATCCACGCAATCAATCTCCAATGAACAACAACTATTTCAAGGTCTAAATACAATTCAATCACACATATTCCATATCAAATACATGATTAATAACTATCAATCATAATTCATAAACAACCATAGCATTCATGACATTCATTATGACATGTTTTAAAATAAAATATAATTCGGGTACTATTCATTTATATGGTATTGTTCATTGTTCACTGTTCATTATACGATATTGTTCACTGTTCATATCTGGTATTGTTAATCATCGTTGAGACTTCGGGTTCTCCCTCGGCAGAACCTAGAATTTGATACAAAATTCATAAAATCTCATGAAATACTCATATCTTAACTCCTAAACTCATGTTGCCACCTAATTAGCATTTATCACACACACACACACACACACACACACACATATATATATATATATATATATATATATATATATATTTCAAGCTTCAAATCCAACGTTTAACTAATAATAACCAAAAATTAGAATTTTCGAGATTCACTGTTCACCAAAAACTAAATTTGTCAAATCTTCATGAAAACCAAAAATAAGTAGAGCTTCTTTACCTTAAATCCCTTTAGAAGCCTAGGAGGAAGACTTTTATAATGACCATAGCCTATAAGTAAAAGAAATAAGGTTACCTTTGGTGAAAAAGGAGTTAAAATGACAGTTAAGGGGTAAAAATGCAAGAAAACAAAGTTACCCAAAAAGTGAAAGTAAAGTTAGAAACATGATTAGAAAAATATTATAATCCATTGGGTAAAGTAAAATGACTCGATAGATAAACTTTTACCCAGTTGAATTTCTCTTAACATATGTAAGTGAAAAATCTAAAAAAACTTCACTATTCCTTATTCTTCTTCGAAAATGGATCGACAGAGGAGAAAATGAAAAAAAAAAGATTTTGATTTAAAATCTTCCAAAATTCATAATTTGAACTAGAGACCTCCAAATCACTCTGTTCCAAAGCCAAGCTTGTGAGAAATTTTGAGAAGAACACATTGGTACCCATATTTCCGTGTGAGGTTCACTGTAAAGAGATTCTTCTTCCCCTAAGGTTTCAGATTTCATGGAAAATTGGGTTTTTGATGGAGCTTGAGGCCATGAGAACTTGAAGTAAGCTTTCCCATTCTTTATAGGTAAGTTTATGTTAAGAAATCCTAGTTTTCTTTGAGTTTTGAGAAAGATTGAATTTAGGTTTCCATTTTCAAAGTTTGACTTGAATGAGCATCTTAGAGCTTAATTGAGGCTTAGCTCATATTGAGAAAAGTGTTTAGATGAGGATTTTAATGGTGAAAATATATTTGGAAAATTAAATATACTATATTTTTGAATAGTGTCGTATACATGAATAGTAATGTATACGTGAATAGTACTGTAGAGATGAACAATACCATATGTATGAATTGATGATGGAAATGTGTTCATTGGTTATAGTGTGAGATCAAGTGGACTTGTGGAGCAAAAGCATAGACTAGAGCAAGATATGGACATTGAGCGAGGCTCTTGATTATTTGAGATTGAGGTAAGTATCAAACAATGGTTTGATAAGAAACTTATATGAAATGGATATATGATTAATTGTGATAACTTCACCATGGATAGGTATGTTGGTCATTTGTTG